TGTGCCTCGTCCTTCAACTGTCAATGTGGTTGGCTCCAAGTGGGTTTATCGTATAAAACAGAAGGCTGATGGTTCTATTGAGCGCTTCAAAGCTCGCCTCGTTGCTCAAGGGTTTACACAACAACAAGGTATTGATTATGATGATACTTTCAGTCCTGTGGTCAAGCCTGTTACCATTCGAACTGTTTTGGCATTAGCTGTGATGTATTCTTGGCCTATTCATCAACTTGATGTGAAGAATGCCTTTCTTCATGGGCGGCTTTCTGAGGTTGTATATATGTCTCAGCCTCCGGGGTTTATTGATCCACAATATCCTGATTATGTTTGTCGGTTGAATCGTGCTCTTTATGGCTTGAAGCAAGCGCCTCGTGCTTGGTTTCAAAGGTTTGCATCTTTTCTGTTTACTCGAGGTTTTTCTCAAGCTCGCTCTGACAGTTCTATGTTTCTTTATCATTCTAATGGTACTATAGGTATTCTTTTACTTTATGTGGATGATATTGTGCTCACGGCTTCCACTACAGTGCTGCTTCATGACATTATTTCTTTGTTGAAACGTGAGTTCTTGATGACTGATTTGGGGCAGCTTAATTATTTTTTGGGTATCAGTGTTAGTTTCAATTCCGATGGATTATTTCTTTCTCAGTCGAAGTATACTCATGAGCTACTTGAAAGAAGTGGCATGCTTGATTACAAGCCAGTGGTAACACCTATGGCACCCAAGGCCAAATTATTTTCTACTGATAGTCCAGCTTACTCTGATCCGGCATTCTATCGTAGTATTGTGGGTGCCCTACAGTATTTAACATTTACACGCCCAGATATTGCTTTTGCTGTTGGCCAGGTTTGTCAGCATATGCATGCTCCTACTCACAATCACTTCACTGTTGTCAAACGGATATTACGCTATTTGAAAGGTACTCTGAATTATGGTCTTCAATTATTTCGTAATTCCTCTCTTTCTCTACATATGTTTACGGATGCTGATTGGGCTGGGTGTGTTGATACTAGAAGATCTATTTCTGGTTATTGTTTGTTTCTTGGTAATTCTTTGATTTCTTGGTCTTCCAAGAAGCAAAACACTATCGCTCGGTCCAATGCTGAAGCTGAATATCGTGCTATAGCCAATGCTGTTGCTGAGGTTATTTGGGTTCGTCAACTGCTTTCTGAGCTACATGTTTTCCTTCATTCTCCTCCTATGGTTTATTGTGATAATATCAATGCCATTTACATGTCTCTCAATCCAGTTCAACATCAACGGACGAAGCATATTGAGATTGATATTCACTTTGTTAGAGAGCATGTTGCTTCTGGTATTATTTGCATTCAGTATGTTCCTTCTTCTGCCCAACGTGCTGATGTCCTCACCAAGGCTCTCTCTTCTGCTCTTTTCCGATCTCAAAGGTCCAATTTGAGCGTTCTTTGCTCTCCCGCTCAAATTGCGGGGGGATGATAATGTATATCATAATACACGTGTATATCGTATAGGGTTAGAAGTGTAAATATACTTCTATACATCTTGTATATATACCCTGATTATAACCTAATAAAGATTGATTCAGCCTCAATATTCTTTATTTTTCATTTAAAATTTTAAATCCTTAACTACTTGAAGCAACTCTTAAAACGAGGCACAGCTGATCTTCCCCTTTTTTTTTTGATAAAAAGGCGCAGCTGATCTTGTCGCAACAAGTTGTAGTATTAACTGAAGAGGACAAAAACGGCGTCTAAGGTTGCGTTTTGAGTGGAAAATAAATTAAAGTCGTTTTATGTCTTTTGGGCCTTCTGGCTACAAATTAGGCCTCTATTTTCTTTTAGTTTGGGCCTATCTATTTCTTCCTCTTTCCTGATCTGAGCTGTGAGCAATACGAATTAGCATAAACGCCAGAGCAGAGAGGGCTTTCGCCTGGAGTCATCAGCTCGAGCTTCTGCGCCACGATAATGGCTGGAAAAGAATCAGAGTACGACGGTGCTTCGGACTCGGACCTAGTCTCCGATCAGTCTCTCAAACTCCAACATCAGTCAACGCACCTCAGCACCACCGCCAACGCCGCCGCTGGCGGTCTTGAAATCACCTGCTTTAGCGAGGTAGTCGATGACGCTACCTTCCACTTCCAAATCATTCGTTTCCCTAAACAGGTATCGATATTTAATTAGCTGAATTTCTGACCTTTTTTATATTCAGAAGTTGATCGCTTTCTAATTACAAACAGATATATGCATGGATCGGTTGCAACTCTACGAAATTCGGTGACTTGTACGCAGCTGCATCGACACGACCTGTAAGATTATAAGCTTCAAAATTTAGGGATTAATAATTGATAATGAATACTGGTTAAATTGTCATTTGCTTTGATGGAGGAAACAGAGCAATACGGTCGGTGTGACTTCCATTCTCGGAGGTTCTTCAGATAACACTGGGTCTGGAATCGCTAGGCCATTAGGTGAATTTTTATTAATGTGTTTTGTTTGGTTTCTTTTTATGTTTCATTTGATTGTGGACTAAATGCAATTTTTTGTTTCCATGGCAGTGTTAAAAACTGGTCTTAACATAATTCTTGCTTGCAGTATCCCAAAGAATAGCCCCATGCTTGAGGTTTGATTTTTTCCTCTACCATCCTTTCTCTGTCTCTATCATATGTCATAATAATGCATTGAAGTTTCCTTTTGGTAGAATCTTGTCATTTATTTATTTTTTTCTTGGTTATGTTTTTACCTAGTACTGGTATTGGAGAGATTGTTTGTTTGAGTATTCTCACATTCCCTTTACATTTTAAGATTTTTATTTTGCATTTAACACAAGTTTTTAACTTTTGGCCTGGAGCCATATCCAGACTTGTAGGAAAACTCAACGGATTTTAACCATTGGTAGACCAATAACCCTCCAAAGTGAATGAGAGTGGCTGGAAGACAAGCATATTGCTGGTTAATTGCTCTAATAGCCCTACTCCCTCTTTCCAATTCAAGTGAAGAGAGGAGCATTGTCTAATAATTTCATCTGCCATGGCATAATTTCATTTACCCTTTTCTTTCATGGGATTTTAGGCAAATGCTGAAAAGAAGCTGATGGAGAAGTTAATCAGTTTGGGATACACGCAGCCAAGATAATG